CCCGGGCGGCCCCGGCGCTTCCCCGCCGCGCCTCCCGCCGCCTCCGCGCGGCCCCGGCCCCGCCGGCACCGGAGCGCTGCGGCCGGGCCCGGCTCCCGCTCAGGCGCCGCCCCTTGTCTGTGCCCGCAGCTACTACCTGAAGGAGTCCAAGGGCAGCCGGCGGTGGCTGCTGTTCCTGGAAGGTGAGCGCCGGCGTCCCGGTCCCCCGCGACGGCGACCGCGAGCGGGGCGGCGGCCCGAGGCTGCCCTCGGTGTCCCGGCCCTCGCGGGCTGCCGGCCCTCAGCCACGGGCCGCCGGCCCCTCGGGGCCGCCTGACCCCTGTCCCCTCGCCAGGAGGGTGGTACTGCTTCAACAGGGAGAACTGCGACACCCGCTACGACACCATGCGACGGCTGATGAGCTCCCGGGAGTGGCCCGCGACCCGCGTGGGTGAGTGGCTCCGAGGAGCAGCCCCGAGGGACCGGGGCCGGGCCGAGGCAGCTGCCTGGTCGCTGCCCCGTGATGCTCCCGCGGGCACGGGCAGACGTTTGGGTGCACAGGTATCGCAGGTACTGAGTGCTGCTCTCTCTGCTTGTGCTGCAGCCACCTGGATACCCAAACCTCCATTACTCAAACAGATCGTTTAATTGCATATATTGGAATTCACCTGCTAGGGTCTGTTTTTTTGGGAAGTACTTAAGTAGGCATCACAGGTCTTTTCTATACTGCAAGAAGCTTCTAGACAGGCTTTATCTGTAGCATGAATCAAATTCTCAATGTCACATCTGCCTAAGGGCAAATTTAGAAATATTCCTTCCCCTTCCCTTACCAATGTTTTTCATCATGAATGTTTGTTTTCTGTGTGGTCAGAGGTCTTGCATGAGGCTGCTACGGTTCCTCTGAAGTCACAGACTCATCTGTACGTTTCTTGTTTCTTTGTGCCCATCTGCAGGAACTGGGATCCTGTCCTCGCAGCCAGAAGAAAATCCCCACTGGTGGAATGCAAACATGGTGTAAGGAGGAATAACGGAGGGAAGTAGCTTTATGCTTAAACACCATCTCCTGCCTTTTAGGCTGGTAAAAATGCTGCAGAGATGGGTTAAAATTAATACTTGGGAGAGGAAATTGTGTTTCCTCATTTGATGTAGTTCAGCTCTCTAACAAGTAGGGCTACAAGGTCCAGAGAAACTTAAGTTCAGTCTCCTTGGGGTTGTGGGGTGATCTAATGGAGAAAAACTGGGGATATCCTAGAGAGCCTTCTCAGATGGCTGCAGTGGTGAATCCATCAGAAGTGGTGGGCTGACTGTGTGTTACACATCTGCCAATTTGAGAGGAATGTGGAGCAGCTCTCCTAGTTCAAAGAGAAATGAGAGAGACCAGTTTATATATGCATCTGTACAGAAGGGATGTTAATTTGTCTCCTGCAAGATGGAGACAAAAATGGGAAGATAATTCCTTCAAAAACCTCCGGTGGTTGCAGTCAACGTTTATACCGCACTGACAAGAGTCTTCTCATTTCCCATATGAAAAACTGAAGCATAGAGAGTTTCCTTGTGGCAGACCATCCACCGTGGGATAGCTGAGAGAAAAATCATGGCCCATTGTTCTGTCTCCTGAGCTCAGTGCTTCAATTAAATTGATAGGAGACATGTTATTTATTGATTTAACTCAGTAAAACTACTAGTGTTCAGGAGAAAATACAAGGCAGTTGTAAATGTCACTTGTTTTACAGGCAGGTAAGTTGTCAAACTGGATAGAAACTCTTCCCTTTTCCCCTTCCCAAGGTTTAATTTTCTTCCAGTTAGGTGACCCCATCCTCACCCCGCTGTGCATGTCAGAGGCACAGCAGGACTCACACAGCTCTCTCTTACAGATTCATCCCGTATTGCTCAAGTGATGTTTGGAGCGGTGCCTCTTCCAAGTCTGAGAAAAGTGAGTGTTGCTGATGGGCTGTTGCTGCCCCAGACATCACACATTAAAGGATGTGGCCAGACTTCTGTGAAACCACATGGATGAAGAACAGGCTTTTTCTTGCTGAAGGGCAGGAAAGAATATCAAGCTACTTCCAGATAAAACATCCTGATCTCTTTAGCTCAGGCTGTTTTGACATAGTTCAGAGCCACTGCTTGCAGAGATGTTACACTGATCCAGTATGCAAGGATTAGAAGAACAAAATTCCTTTTAGTTGAATATCCAGGTTCTAGCACGCAGCAAATCAATTGGTGTAGCTGAACGACCGTGGCCTGTCGCATGTGACTTTGGCATGGCTCACCTGAGAGGAAGGACTGTGAATTTAGTGTCAGACTTTAATCAGGAGGATATTTGGCCTTAGGCAGGAGCCATCATGTGTGAGGCTAAAGCTGTCTGCAGGTTTCTTGGGAATCAGAGGATAGTTCATCTCAATTCATGCATTGCCATGGGCTGTCGTCCTGGTGATGTCACAGGAACCCTTTCCCTTCATCCCAGCTCCTTGGAGCTGTTGCTGTGGAGCAGTTACACATCAGTATCCTCGACTGCTGGTGGCACCAAGGAAGTGGTGTCTGTGTAGGTGTAACACTTTGTGAAGCATTGCTTGTCTGAATTGGCTTGATAAATGGGGAAAAAGGGGAAGCAGTAAGTTGGAACTGAGATTCCAGGTGGTAGAAAGGTGTGTGTGTTCCTCCTGTATGGAGATAGGGTCCCAGTACCTTCCTTCTTGTTTTCCTTCTCTGAGTTTACCCATTTCTAAGCACTGTTGTAGGAAGGTACTTGTGTAATTGTGTATTCAGATCACTCTATTCACTTTCTTTCAGGGAAGCAAGTTTTGTACAGGGCAGGGAGAGTTTCTTCTTAGGTGTACTTGGTACAGGTGGATAAGATGAACCTGGGTTAGGTTCATAATCCCTTTGGAAAGTTCTTAAGCGTTTTTGGAGAGGAAGTAAAAGTGTGAACCTGGACAGGAAACAATTTTGTTGATGCTGAGCTGTCTCTTCCAGATGAATATGCCTTCATGGGAGCACTGATCATTCAGGAGGTTATAAAGGAGCTGGTGGGAAAAGGTCTGAGCACTGCAAAAGTGTTGCTGCTAGCAGGGAGCAGGTAGGTATCTACAAGCTTCCCTTTGGTGAGAACAGGAGATTTCCACAGTAGAAAGCTGTTAGGAAATGTAGCTTCTAGGACTACAGTAACACTAATATAGCAAACCCTGTATCTCTTCTCAGTTTTCTCCTCTAAGAGGTACAACAGGGGATGATACAATATTATTTCCGCAGCTTCCGGTCCAGATAGAACCAGAATAGAAACAGAAAACAGAGAAAATAGTAACAAGACAAAAGCTTGCAAGATAATAAGATAAAAGCTTTGCGTTCTCTGCATCAAGAGTGCTGGTTCCTGTTGGCCCACATCATGAGACACACCCCTGCTGCAAATTGATTCAGGACACTAAATTCAAAACCAGACCTGCCTCACACAGGTGCACCAGATTGTCCCGTGCTGCACAAAGCTCTGGTACACTCAGCATGTGTTACGATGGGTATGATAGAGAAACTGCAAAGGGTGAATTCATCTCACTTCAGATTCTTTCAGCTTTTGAGCAGCCAAACCTCTTGCAAATGATACAGAGCACATAAATCTGCCAGAAGAGAGCATAACAACAGGACTTGGTTTCTGACGTACCAGATTGTTACTCAGCCCAGTTACTTTATTTCTGAGTGTTTTGCAAAGCAAGGAAATAACGTGGTGACCACCAATTTCGTGGTGAATGGTTGGGTAGCTCTGCTGTGGGTAAATGAAGGTGTTTATAGTCTGTCACTGCTGGCCAGGTGTGTAACACCTGTGTGTGCCTCAGGACTGCAGTGTTGACGTTGCTGTTGCAGTGCTGGAGGGACAGGAGTGCTCCTGAACGTGGACCGAGTGGCAGAGCAGCTGGAGGAGATGGGTTATCAAGGGATTCAGGTTCGAGGCTTGGCAGACTCTGGATGGTTCTTGGATAACAAACAGTATCGCAGAACCGACTGTATCGATACCATCACGTGTGCTCCAACAGAGGCCATCAGGAGAGGAATAAGGTACAGTCAGATACTCTAAAGTACCCTGCTGTAAGAGGCTAGACTGTGGAGAAGACATCCTCCTTCTCTATCTTCCTTCATTTTGATACTTAAAGAGTGTTTCTTCTCTACCTCAGTGGTTTTTCAGTAATTTATCGAAAAAGACAATAATGTAGAATCTAGAGGTGTAAAAGAACACGTGCAGTTGTAGGTGCTTTAAAATGTGTTGATGGGACAATGTAGCCAAGAGAGAGCTGTGCTATCAGTTGGAACTCTAATCAGAACAGAAATAGGCTGGGATATGGAGAGGCAGTTGTTAGGATTGCCCTGTGCCTCTCATTCTGTTATTGCTTTGTTTCCTAGATACTGGAATGGCATTGTTCCTGAACGCTGTAGGCTGCAGTTTAAAGAGGGAGAGGAATGGAATTGCTTTTTTGGATATAAGATTTACCCCACTCTTCGATGTAAGTTTCAGAGGAGAGATATAAAATGAATTCTAAAGTTTCCTCTGCATCCACAACTGTCTTGGAGCAACCTCTTTTTCAAATTTTTTGTCTTCCTAGGTCCAGTCTTTGTTGTCCAGTGGCTCTTTGATGAGGCCCAGCTTACTGTAGACAATGTACACCTCACTGGCCAGCCTGTTCAAGAAGGGCAGTGGCTCTACATCCAGAATCTGGGTAGAGAGCTGAGAAACACCTTGAAGGATGTGACGTAAGTGTTTCCTTGAGGAAAACCTGGCACATTTGTTTCGAAGGCACATTCTTATCCAGTGTCCTGGCATTGTTTCTCAGATCTCTGCTGAAAAAGGAACGTTGTAAGTTTGGTAACTATTAGCTCATCCACATCAAGAATCTTGCCTTTTTCATTTCTGGGTAAAATTCCATCTTCTCCCTAGTCCAGAATGTTCTATTCAGCAGGAGTTGCTTTGTCCTTCAAGACATAATCCATGTTTCCATTCTTTCTTTAGTGCGAGCTTTGCTCCTGCCTGTTTGTCCCACGAGATCATCACACGCAAGTGAGTTCTTGTGCAGATCCTCTGAGAGGTGAACGGGGACATGGCTGGGGAACGAGCCCATCCTGGCATCTGACCCCTCTGATGAGGCCTGTACGGTTTGTCTTTTCAGTCACTGGACTGACATCCAGGTGAAGGGGACGTCGTTACCCCGTGCCCTGCACTGCTGGGATCGGAGCCTGCACGAGAGCAACAAAAACGGGAAGGCCCCTCTGAAAGGCTGCCCAATTCACCTGATTGACAGCTGTCCATGGCCTCACTGCAACCCCTCGTGCCCCACAATCAGGGACCAGTTCACAGGGCAGGAGATGAATGTGATCCAGTTCCTCATGCACATGGGGTTTGATGTTCAGAAGATGGCACAGCAGCAGGGCCTGGAGCCCAGTAAACTCCTGGGGATGCTCAGCAGTGATAACTAGGGAGGGCTTGTCAGAGGGGCAGAGATTAGATCAGGAGGAGAGAGACTCTCAGCCCTTCTCCCACACTTTCTAATCTTCTTCCTTGCGCTCCTGCAGGCAGACGCACGCTCACATCCAGGCACGCTCCCACTGTGCACACCCACGGGCTCCCACGCTCTTGCACACTCCAGGGTGTGCCAAGAACAAAACAAAAAAAAAGGCAATTTCTTGCTTACGCTGTTTGGCTGGAACTCGTTCCCTCCAAACTCCAGGGCTGAGTCTCAGCCAGTCACATCCTCTTCCTGTGTTACACAAGGCAATTGGATACAGGGAGTAGCAAAGCCATAAATAGCAGCGATGAGAACCTTTCCCAGATCTGGGACGTCTTCCCTTGCCATGAATTTTACATCATAGACTTGATACAAGTGGTGTAAAAAGCAAGCACTGGATTTCTTCTGTCCAACTAGAAGTGAAGGAATGATTACATGACTTCCTGGAGGTCAGCATCTCATGCTGAGTCACAGTGTACAGACCCAGGACACGTGCTAGGGATGGACACTCTTGTACTCAATTTATTCGTATTATTTTATAAAATGACTTTTTTATTACTTTTTTTTAACTAAGCAAGAAATATAAATGATATTGTTTTGTAACATATTTTTTTTAAATAACGAAGAAACCTCTTGCTACTTTGGCAACGTGGACATATTTATTTTAATATGTAAAATGCTATTTATAAGGGCTGACCAGAGAACCATACCTATGTCTTTGTAAAGTTGTATATGCTGCTCATTTGGATGGGTTATCCTGATGGTCACTTGTGCCTGGGAGAGGGCTATGGGTGGTGTTGACAAATTTTTATTAATTAGACTTCTGTGTTCCCCTTGCAGTGTTCCTTGTCATTGTTTCTCTGATGAAGAGGTTGTAACATGAGGTTTAAGTACAGAGACTTTCACCCAGCACCTGATGTTTGCAGACTTCCACAGCATTTTTGGCTTGACTGTGTTTTCCCAGGTACTCCAGGGCACTCAGTTGGATGGTGCAGGGAGATCTGGCTTTGCAGTAAAGGCCCGTCTGCCAGTGAGGGAAATGTTTGATCAGACTGTCAGAAGCATTTGGAACAGAAAAGACAGCACAAGACAAGCATCAACATATTTCTCTTCTTGTAGTCATTTGGGAACACACCCACTTCAGCACAGAGAATCCCCTTTGATGGTAGGGGGAGGAGAGCAAGTGAGGGGTTGGGAATTGGTAGAAGAGACCGTTCCTGGGGTGGGAGCTTCCCCTGCAGCACAGGGTGTGGGGAGACTTGCATGAGGAGTAAGATTTACTCCCTGCTGCAGGAGCTCCTGGGACCGACTGTGTGTGGTTACCCAGTGTGTAGGCCACAAAGAATTTGGGCCTTTTTTTAGAAAAATTCCCTGCACTTTCAAGATGGGCCTTACAAGATTAGAATGGTGGTGTTGTTTGTGAGATCTCTTGTCTTGGGTAAGTAAACCCCAAGAATGAACCAAACCACAGCCCTTGGGTTCCTTTTCAAGGGCTTCAGGAAAAGTTGGGCAGGAGCACAGAGGGAATCAGCTGTCCTGCTGTGTGTGATGGGATTAGCACACATGGAAGATAAAAAAGTAGCTAAAGAGAAAATGGATGGTACTGCCAGCAGAACTGAAAAGCAGGAAAACATCAGTGGAGTTTCCCTCTGATCAGTTTGGTGATTACTGATATCCTTTATGTTTTAATGACTTGGGTATAAAAGTGAAATTGTCCTGATTACGTTTTTCATCTGTTTTCTGCTGTGCAGAAGCCACTGACAAAAGGGCAAGGCTGGAAGAATTCAGTACCACATGTTTGTGCTCTAAGATCTTGCAACTAGATGAGGGTTTTTGTCTTGGAGGAAAAGTGGCTGTGGTCCATCTGGTGCACTGCTCTGCTGGTGCGATTTTGGGGACCTTTGCCTTCTGCCAGCACTGCCTTCAGCACTGAGGGCTCTCCAGAGGGCACCTCTTCTCATGGGAAAGCAGAAACTGAGCAGCAGGACCAGCTCTGCCCCCTGGGCCCAGCATCACCAATTGGTCACAGAGTGTAGGGCAAGGGGGGATGTGTCCTCAGGTGGACTGTGACAGGGAGTGACCCTGTGCTCTCTGCTGGTCCCTGGGCAGGTGGTAAGTGATGACCAGGATATGCCACAATACAGTCAGTAACACACTGCCAATGAGGCCTGGAAAACTTCTAATAGAGGTGAAGAGAGAGTCAGGAAGGGGAGAACCTCATCACCTGGAGCTCCTCAGCTCTCCTGCTGCATTTCCTGGCTGTTGTGATGTTAATTGTGCAACTTCCACCCCAAATGAATACAGGTTTTGTACTTTTAGCACCAGAGGTCTTAAGGAAAATGGGAGGGACTTGAATGAAAGAGACACTGAGGTTACAAGACATTGTCAAAACTGAAGGTAGGCACATTTTATCCTAGGAGCCACGAAAACTGTACTGTTCTTATGTGAACTGTTCCATAAAGTTATCCTGCTTCCACACTGGGATTAGCACTGCAGATGAGGAGTCAGCAATGCTGCCGTGGGGTAAGGGAGGAATTTTTCTACTCCATTGTGGTTTTCATTTTTCCCATTCTGAAACTACATCAGAAATTTTCTTCCGGGCTTTTAGAGTTAGAATTAAGAGACTTCTGGGTAGACAAAGTTTCGGGCACTGTATACAGGCACAGCTCCCTGTGGGAAGCTTTGATCCCACAGGACGGAGGGTTTGACACTATATATTGAAATCTGTATTCCAAAACAGAGCTGAGAATATCAAAGCAACTTTTTTTTCTTTTAACAAGTGTATTTGGTTGTGGCATTCAGAGATACAAGAATAACTGGTCTCCACATAAGTAAAACAGAGACAGGGATGAGTTTAAGGAAATGGTGAGGACTGGAATGCTAAACCTTCACAGCCACAAGCTCTCACTAAGGCTCAAAGCACAGCAGGTAAAGTATTGCTGCTCCAGATCTACTGCAGCAAAGTGAGTCAGCTTTTATCCAGCCTCTGGCCTAAATCCTGTCTTTCGTAGGGTTTGTGCTGCCTTTGGGCTTGTGCCCCTACTCTTGGGTCTGCAGGACTGAGCTCCTGTTCCTGCAGCGTGGCTGGATCACAGTCAGCCCCCTCCCTTCAGTGCGGGGGGGGGGGGAACGGCAGCATTCCAGTGACCCCAGAGTTTCTAGAACAGCAGAAGGATAATCAAGAGCCTCTGGTGGAGCTCGCAGCTTCAGTGTTAAATAACACCGGCTCCCAACAGCTGAGGGGGGGCAGGACTCATTCCAGAACTATTAATAAAGCCCCTATTTATACTCCAGGTTCCTGCAAACGGTGCAGCAGAAAACTACAGCTGCGGAGCTAAAATGGAATAAATGTCAGCCTCCAGGGAAAGCACCATCCTGCGGGAAAGGAGACCACGAAAGGACAGCACAGGGGCAGGTTTCAGACCTGAGGAAGCAGATCGAGCGGACGGCAGCACCCTGAGCTCACAGCCAGTGGGCAGAGCCAGCCAGTCACCTCCCTGCAGCCGCAGGTCTGTGCAGAAAGCTGCCAGAGCCGCGGCAGCAGAGGCGGCTCCCACTGATGCCGGCAGAGACCAGCAAGATTCGAGCTGCCACTCCACTGAGTGGGGACCAAATGTGACTCAGGGCAAAAGAGCAAAAGCCTGAAAGGACATTTGAGGGGGCTTTTGCCTGCATTGTCTGCTGGACTGGAAAGATGATGGAGAGCACAGGAGGGCCGTATCTAAACACGGCCGCAGTGACCTCCCCCGTTGGAATAGCTCGATTGCTGCAGATGACCTTTGGATGCACCACGTTCAGCCTGGTCGCCCACCAAGGCGGGTTCAGCGCTGCCTATGGCACCTTCTGCATGTTCGTCTGGACCTTCTGCTTCGCAATCACCGTGTTCATCATCACCTGTGAGTTCACACACCTGCACAGCTGCCTGAGCCTTTCCTGGGGAAACTTCACTGCTGCTTTTGCCATGCTGGCCACGCTCATGTCCGTCACGGCCGCGGTGATCTACCCGCTCTACTTCGTCCAGGTGGGCTGTTACCCCATCGGCTGCGAGGTGAGAGATTTCCGCATCGCTGCCAGCGTCTTCGCAGGCCTCCTGTTTGTCGCCTACGCTGCCGAGGTGTTCCTGACCAGGGCGAAACCGGGACAAGTCACCAGCTACATGGCCACCATCTCCGGGCTCCTGAAAATCGTCCAGGCCTTCGTGGCCTGCATCATCTTTGGGGCGCTGGTGAACGACAGCCAGTATGGCAAACACGTGGCGACGCAGTGGTGCGTGGCTGTTTACAGCTTTTGCTTTGTGGTGACAGTGGTGGTAGTGGCCTTCAGTGTCACAGGTAAGACTGCCTTGCTGTGGTTCCCCTTTGAGCGCTCTGTGGTCATCTACACCTTCGGGGCCGTGCTGCTCTACGTGAGCGCTGCAGTCATCTGGCCAGTGTTCTGCTTCGACAGCAAGTACGGCTCCCCACAACGCCCCAGCCTCTGTGCCAAGGGCAAGTGCCCCTGGGACAGCCAGCTGGTGATCGCCATCTTCACCTACGTCAACCTGCTGCTCTACGTCCTGGACCTGGCATATTCCCAGCGCATCCGCTTTGTCTCACACCTCTGAAACAGGTCAGAGCCGTCCCGGCACCGTGGAGCCGCTGTGGTTGCAGAGGGATGGGCCATGAAGTAGGGAGGCACCAGGCAAAACCATCAGCCAAACTTGGAGGTGAAGACCGACTGCATTAACAAATTAATGACCTGGAGCGGGTGGGCTGCAGCTGATACCAGGCACAGCCCACCTCCCCCGTGGTTCTGCCCAACCTGCCTGGTGCCAGCACGAAGGAATGACGCAGCTCCACGTGCATCTGCAGACAGCAGGAATGCTTGCAGCCAGGGCTGCAGGCTACTGGATTACTGATCCAAATATTAGGAAAGGATTTTGAAAGTGCTACCAGCACTTAACGGGAACGAACTGACTACCCAGGAACTCGGAAAGTTAAAAGCTGCATCAAGGAACACCAGTCCTGGAGATGAAAACCAATCCCTTGGAGTTTGGGTTAGTTTGGGCAGTGTGGTGAGACATGGAATGCCTGCAAGTGTGGGCAGTTCCAGTTGGGCCATTTCTGAGAAGAACATCATAGCTGTAATAGTATTTTGAAGGTTACCAGTCCTTTCCCTTCCTCTCCTTCGCTGTCTAGCACAGAAAAGGAGTAAACTCAAGCATGTACCTTGGAGGAGGCCTGAGTATTATTTAGCCAACACTAAATGACTACAGAAAAGAAAATTTGCAAAGCTGGGTCTCTGCTGCTGAGAATCAAGGTGCAGAGCAGAGCCAACCTGCAGAGTGACTGTGTGTGACCTGCTGTCCTTGCTCGAGCAGTGCAGAAGGTACCTCAGCACAGGCTCTGTATTGGTTTATGGGCCGCTGTTTCTTTATACTGATGTTGAGATTTTTTTTTCTGAAAGCTTAAGGATAAATTCTGGGGAGATAGGAAAAGGAAGGCAGAGATTAATTGATCTCACAGTGCTGCACAAGAGACCAGACTGGGTGGGGAGGGGGCATGGACAGGACAGGACAGGACAGAATTTGCACACAGTGGTAACAGACTGGGAGCTCTGCCCCAGAGCAGCTCAGGTGCAGGATTCCTGAGCCCTCTGCATTACTGAGGAGCCACATGTCTTGGACCCATCCCTGACAAAACACCCACTTTTAAGTCCCACACTGCTCAGCTCAGATTTCAGGCTCAATAGGAATCTTCATTTGTTCCAGGGAGAGGCCAGAATGTCCGAGTGCTTGTGCAGCACATGCAGACTCAGTGCTTTGATTAAAATCTCCAGTAGCTGCCTGTGAGAAGCAAGATTTATTTTTTAACCAAATTAAAATAAAGCTGAATGGCAGATGTACACATACATCTCCTGAGATCTGTGTGCTGTCACCCTGCTCTCCACACTTGATTGCAGCAGATACAGCCCCTCTGCTTTCTGCCCAAAAGCAGAGCTCAGTTTATTTTGATGTATGAAGGCTGAACACAGAATCAAAAAAGTACAGACACGGGACAGCTGAGACCTCTGAGTGGATTCTTTGCAGCAGAGTCACTCAGGAAAAAGGAAGAAAACTACTTTTCATCAGTGCTTTGTGCAGGGTTTGAAAAGCAAAGAGGAAACTTGTTGGGTCAGATTGTGTGGGATAATTCTGTACTGAGCAAGGACCAGCCCTTAGCAGCAGGGAGCATTAGCCAGGAAACAGGGCAAGAATTGGGATCCAGTGAAAAGGGAATGCATGGAAGAGCCTTCCAAGGGGGTTTTCTCTTCTGCAAGTCCCCATGAAGGGCAGGCAATCTGGAAGATGTGGTCCAACAAGAGGCTACCAAGGCAAGACCCAAGACTATCTGCTATAGATATAAATCAGGAGCTTTATTTCTTGCCACCCAAAAGACTTACAGGTTGTACAAGTACAAAATGCTGATTTGGGAAAGGAAATCCACTTGTGTTGGAGGTGGCAGTTTACAAACAGCCACTGAACACTAAGGGACCTCGAGCATTTATGATGTATTCCTGTTAAAACCACCAATGTGAACAAATTAAGCTCTGTCACACTTGAAAATGACTTGTTTTTTGTTATTACAGAGCACTAAAAACCGAACAGGTGCCTGTGAAGCACCATGGCTTCTGTTATAAAATTCAACCCTGCAAGTCCAGGCAGGTTGCTTGAGGAAAGCCCTGTCCTGCAGGCTCTGCTGTGGCTCTGGGAGGCTGGGAGGGCCAGGGAGAGGGTCCCCAGCGGCAAGTGCCTGCAGGCTGGGGGTGCCTGGCCCCAGATGTGACATTGCCATCGGGCAATGGAAACCCCCTCGGCTGGTAGCTGTGGTTCAGCCAGGCACTGCTGGCTTCTTGCTGGGAAGATTTTGCACCAAGTAGGAGCAGGAACAGCAACATGATAAAATCTGACAATGACATGGAGTTGATGTAACCTACACTGAGCCAGGGACAAAGAAAGGCCAGAGAGAAACAGGTACGTGCGAAACAATGGAGGTAAAATTGAGTGCCTTCACAATGAGGAGAAAATTTAACATGGAAATCATGATCCCACTGACTGGAGGAGTGAAAGACAAGTCATTGCCAAGAACAGCGTGTTCAGATTTAGCTTTCTCATCTGCCAGCCAAAGACTAAGCAAAAAATGTGAGCATGGTCAAAATGGCAAAAAAAGATTGTGTGGACAACAATCCTTTATTTTAGGAGAAAAAAAATAATAAAAAAAATCAAAACCTCATGCTTTAGTGGTTAAAACACTCCCCAACCATTGGAAACTATGAGATTGCCCAATCCAGGGCAGAGAACATCCAGTATTTGCTCAGCAGGATTTACCAACCAGCTGTGTCATGATTCAGTCCATCAAAACCCCTTCATTTCCAGAGTGTATCTACCCCCTTAATTAATAGGTGAGGATCAAATAGATCACCGTGAACTGGGCTTCACGAGACATCAACCATTCCCAGCCTTTTTGGTAAGGTGATGCCAGGATGTGTGTGTTCATTTAGCATTACAGACTTGTGTTTGCAGCCAATCTCTACAGCACCCAGAGGATTCCAGCCTGGACAGATTGATATAAAAATCTGAATCATTAACATGTTGGATTTGGTTTGGTTTTTCCCTTCTCCTTCTGAAGCCTTTTGGTTCCATATCGCCAAAAGACAGTGTTTAGGAATATTGGCTCGCAGGAGAAACACTGAGATTTATTTCTGTCAATCAAGGAGGGAGAAAAAAGACACACAAAAAAAGAAACCAATAC